TGGTTATAAAGCCTCCGCCCCGCGCGCCGCGGCCCACTGCGCAGGCGCTGGCCTCAGACACCTCACAACCCGTGCGGCCCCGCGAGAGGCGTTGGGCGGGGCTGGGAGGGCGCGGCCTGCGGGCTGCGGTGAAGACCCGCCTCCTGCAGTCAGGTGGCCTGGCGCAGCCATATTGCACAGGCTCCACCCTCCGTCCCGTGGCCCCGACCCAGTGGGCTGGGTGCTCCTTCCAGCAAGGGAGTCTTCCGTCTATCTGTAAAGAGAAGACGCCCGCGGACCCACCGTCCGCACGTCTGTTGAGGCTAGCTATTAAGTGGTAGGGAATATAGTCGGTCATTGAACATCTCCAAACTGAGAGGCACCGCTGGGTAAGACCGACAGGGTCCCCTAGCTGCAAGGGATCCTTAGAATAAAGTCCAAAAATCTTAATCTAGTACTTGCTGTTTTCTGCTAACTAACGAACTGTACTCCTAAACTGTATCTCCCATTCTGTCTTCCAGGTACTCCGGTTCTCCACTGTTGGTAGAAAGAGGGCCAGCAGTTTGGTGTCCAGAAATGCCTTCTTTTAGTCCCTCTTCCCCAAACCCTTAGGCTTGTTAACGAGAGACAGGCAGACACCTCAACAGCAACGAAACCATGTCAGAATTAAATTTTGATTGCAAATTAGAGACACAAAAGGGGAAGGAAGGGTTATGGCAGAAAATTTTCTTAACACGAAAAATATGTTCACAGATTGACAGTTTAAGCTTCAAAGTCTTTAGGCCACCTCATCCCAGTCCACATTCTAAACAATGGGAAGGAATTGGTTTGGATGTTCTGCATGTTTTAGCTTAAATCTCACTGGTCAAAACAGTTATCGTGACACATCTGTCTCTTTCCTTTTTAAAAGATAAAAATAGTACCTCTGTTATTAATAAGCGATGGCGGAATGAGGGCTCAGTAGTAATGCACTTGCCTAGCCTGCCCCAGAGAACGGTGTGATGAAGTAACAAACCCTTGACCTTGATAAGCAGTCTTCTTCTTGGCTGATGTTTAAAACCAGCTCCCCAGATCTTAACACTTTTGAGATTAAACACAGCACAGCTACAAAATCTATTGGGGAAATGTCTAGTAATGAAACCTGAGAATCAGGATCTAGTGACCTAAGAGGAAAATCAAGCAGGTCTGATGTCATAGATGCCAAGATAAATTGTTTACAGGAGGGAGTGGTCAACTACCAATTGTGACAGACGCTGCTGGGAAGTCAAGAAAGATAAGAACAGAGAAATGACCGCTGGGTTTGGCAATCCCAAGGAGTTCAGTAGGAGGTATTAAGGTAGTCAGGTCCAGTATTAAGGGTTACCCTTAAGAAAAAAAGAGGTTTGATGCTATATAGATAAAGCAACAATGAGTGTCTGTATGGTGATCAGGCTAGGTTCTGTTGTGGTAGTAGATACTCCAGAGAGCTCAGAGGTTTAGCACAGGTTCTGCTGCGGTGGTCTATCTCCAGGAGCAATTTGGTTAGATTTAAAATTGCCACAGAAACACATCTCTGGTTGCATCTATGACAGTGTTTTCTGAATAGCAGAGAGGAGAAGTAAGAATCTACCCCAAGGGCAGGTGGCACCATCTCATGGGTGGGGATCCTGGAGCCGAATAGACAGGAGAAAGCAACTGAACACCAGCACTCTGTCTCTCTGCTCCCTGACTTCGGCGATCAGGACTTCCCACCACCCCAGGTGTAGATGGCACCATCCCATGGGTGTGACCCACCCTGGAGCTGAATAGACAAGAGAAAACAGCTGAACACCAGCGCTCGTTCTCTCTCTCTCTCTCTCTCTCTCTCTCTCTCTCTCTCTCCTCCCTGACTGTGGATGCAATGTGATTAGGACTTCCCGCTGCCATGACATCTCCACCGTGATAAGTCTGTCTGTCCACTCAAACAATGTGCCAAAATAAGCCCTTCCTCCTCCCTGCTGTTTCTATCAAGTAATTTTCAGTTCAACAAGAAAAGTTAATATATCTGCTATGAGTCAACGTATTCTCCAAGGTAAGTTACATTTTAAAAAATTACTTTTTTTGGAGACAAGGTCTCACTGTGGCAACGTTGGACTGTCCTGGAACTCCCTATGTAGACTAGACTGGCTCCAAACTTCGGGAGCTCTGCCTGCCTCTGCCTCCCAGGACCTGGGAGAAGTTGGGTGCCACCATGCCTAGCTGTTAACTTTCCTTTTGCATTTCCATATTCAGGGCATTTCCATCCTGAACTCCCTCATCTTGAGAGCAGACGTTCAGATTGCCCCAGCGAGAGGGAGGGCTGGAGACTGCTCATCAACAGCTAAAGGCCTCAGCTCCCACTCCCAGATTGCTAGCCGGAACTGGCCACACAGGTGCAGTCTAACTGCAAGAGAGACTAGGACAGGTCGGGCAAACGTAGGCTGTGTAGTGGGTAATATTCTTTCTGCCACAGCTGTCAGCACCCATCCTCCTTGGAGGAGGATGGGGGAGAGCACTGCCTTGTTTCTTGGTCAGATGGGGACAAAGGACGGGGGGATCCCAATTCCAGCCAGAAGCCTTGAGATCCAGCTCCCTGTGCAGCTGAGAAACAGCCGTTGGATTCTAGTTTGCTCTCTGGCATATGGTGGTGCATGCCTTTGATTCCAGCAGGAGGTTCCAAGAGGCCGGCTTGGGCTACATGAGACTTTATTGAAGCAAGCAAGGAGGAAGGAAGAAAGGAAGGAAGGAAGGAAGGAAGGAAGGAAGGAAGGAAGGAAGGAAGGAAAGAAGGAAGGGAGAAAGGAAAGAAGGAAGGGAGGAAGGAAAGAAGGAAGGATGAAAGAGAATAAAAAAGAAGGAGAAAGAATGAAAAGAATTCTAGCTTGTTGAAAAAAACCAAGTGCTTGTCTTGGGTACAAGACTTCCCAAACAGAGTCAGCCTCCGTTCATCGGTGCCACTACCAGGGCTTTAGCAGAAAACAGACCTCTTCTAAATGCCACTGGGCTTTGCAGTGGCCCCATTTCCCAAGGCGTTTCTCTCCCGAATCATCACCGTTGAAGAGAATAGGGCAAGTTCCTCTCACTGTTTATTCTCTTTCTCATCTTCAGAAACTGAGTAGTGACTCAGGGGGATGGCATGAGGGGGAGAAGGGATTCTCACTCATTCAGTAAATATCCATTATACTTCCTTTGCACAACTCTTGGCCAAAAGCTGGAGTCATGCTAGAGATGAAGCACATGGTTTTCTGGGGTAACAGCTAGGAAAGCAGACCACTGGAACACGAGGTGATGAAGGCATGCACACACAGGCTAGGACAGGCCAGCCAAGGGCATGGCAGCCTTTGCTCAGGGGTTCGGGGTGGCGTTCATGCAGAAGTGTTCTGGTGGCAAGGCCTCAGTCAGAGTGGACAAGTTTATAAGGGGAGGAGAGGAAAGTTCCAAAATGAGGAGGCCAGAAGGAAACACGTAGTGGGAAGGCAAAGGCAGGCTCAGACTGAGGAAGTATGAACAGCAGGGTGTAACTGGAATATCTGAAAGGATATGACAGAGAGGCCAGCACGGAAAGTTCTGTATTATGATTCCATCAGGTGCCAGGAACAGAAGCCTGGCACAAGTGCGTGGAGGTCTGAAGAGAGATTTTTGGCTCAAGTAACCCTGTGAGCCACTGGTGCCACAATAGCTTGGCCCAAGGACCGCTGCGGACCAGCTGCATCCAGGGATACCTCCAGTTCCTGTATTCATCTTTCATCATTGCTTCCTTCCATGTCAGTTGCTTCTTTGTTGTTACTGTGGCTTAAAAAAAAACCATAAAGCCTCCATACCATTCAGTGACATCTGGTTTTCACATTGGTGGGGAGCCGTTGTCACCATGCAGATCTCTCCCTTTGCCTACACTCACTACCGTGCCATAAGCCCGAAGGCAGCTGGGCCAGTCGTGGATGGAAGCCTCTGAATCTGTGTGGCAAAATAAACCTTCATCTTTTACAATGATTGATCTCAGATTTGTTAGCACTGTCAGCCTGCGCTGTATGATCAGGAGGAGGAACAAGTCTCCAGAGGGAGGGGCCGAGCTATCATAAGAACAGGAGGGGAACTGGAGAGATGGCTCAGTGGTTAAGGGCACTGGCTGCTCTTCCAAGAGGTTCAATTCCCAGAACCCACATGGTGGTTCACAACCCTCTGTATCTCTAATTCCAGGGGAATCCAAAGTGTCCTCTTCTCCCTTCCTCAGGTACTGTATGTATGTGGCACATAGACATACACACAGGCAAAACACCTACACACATAATTTTTAAAGGAAAGACCAGTGAACACATAGAATATGAAATATTCACCAGAGGTAGGTTAGGACCAGAAGTCTAGAATGCCAGGTTGAAGAGCTCAACCTTTACTCTGCTGGGCAGCTAGACTGTGTGGCACTGTTTGGATCAAGAACAGTCATACATACAAAGAAGTTGGAGTAAGCATTGAATCAACACAAGGCCTTATCCACAGGCTCCACTGAGACCCTGTCTACTGTGTAACAGTAAGGAATACTGGAATTTCATTTTTATTTTGTATTTTGAGACAGGGTCTATGTAACCTTAACTGGCCTGGAACTCACTAGGTAGACCAGGTCAGCCTCAAACTCACAGAAATCCACCTGTCTCTGTCTCTCAAGTGATGAGCACAAAGGATGCACCATCACACCCGGCTGACATTGGAACTTTAGATGTCCTTTAGTCGCTGGGCAGAGGCCAGCTGTGCCAAGCCCTAACTCCGAGTAGGAATTCTGTCTCCTGATCCCTTGGGACTGGCCACTGAAGATGGGACTGGCCACTGAAGATGGGACTGGCCACTGAAGATGAGTGGGACAGAGCAAGGTTCAGAAGCCCTGTAGGCTTCACCATCACCAAGGCTGCACATAGGGCGAGCATCACTACTGGTGATTAAAGCCAGCTCACAGATCTTAGGGGCAACCACCACCACCCACTAGACATAGACTCAGCTCCAGCTTCTCTCTCCACCATCCCAGATAAATATCTCTTGGAAAGTAACGCTCTGGCTGACTCTGCATACTCTTGTGACCCCCTAAGGGACCGCAAGCTTCTATTTAAAAACAACCAGGTTCCTGTCTGACCTGTCTGTTCACCTCATTTGTCCAGACCACTGTCCAACACACTCCATGGATTCATGTGGACAGTATCTTTCTGAAGCATGAATGCAGATATGGCAATTTGGCATATAGAGTTTCAGCAGTGTAAGTGCACTGGTTGCTGGTTTCTAGAATTTGTATCATAGGAAAAGTCTATGGATAAAACTACTCCAGCACACTTGTGCCAGCTGACTTTGGAACTGAGTCCTCACTGTAGTGGCCTTGGTGATTAAAGGGTCTGTTGGACTATTACAAATGACTCTTTTCTTATTGTGGGCTTTGGTTTTGAGCTCTTTGTTGCCTTTCGAGGTTGCTCAGAAAAGCTAACATTTATTTTATGCATATTTATTTGTTTGTGCATTGCTGGGAATCATTAAGGCCAGGGCCTTATTCATCATGCCAGGCCAATTCTCTACCCCAGTCGTTTTTTTGTTGTTGTTTTTGTTTGTTTGTTTTTGTTGTTTTTTTTTTCAACAGGTTGTATCTAATGATGAACTTGAACCCACTGTGCACTCCACACTGACTTCAAACCCTGAATTCTTCTACTTCAGTTTTTCGAGTTCTGGGGTTATAGATGTACACAACAAAACTTGGCCATGAAAGTTCATTTTATTTTATTTTTATATATATTTCAAAATTTATTTAGTTTTTTTATATGTATGAGAATTTGTCTGCATGTATGTATGTGTACCTTGTGCCTGGTACCCATGGAAGCCAGAAGAGGGTGTCATATCCGCTGGAACTGAAGCTACAGATTGGAGTTACAAACAGTTGTGAGTCACTGTGTGGGTACCAGGACTGAACCCAGGTCCTCCACAAAGAGCAGCAAGTGCTGGAGGGCCCATCTCTGCAGCCTCGTGAACTCTCGTTTTAATCAGATGTTACCTGAACACTGATTGGGCCTCCAGTTCCTTCCTCTGGCTGCACCAATGACCTCTACCTGCTGTAAGCTTTACCTTTTCTCTGGTCAGGAGTGACGAGTGCTTAGTTTGCCTGGCCTGGCACACCTCTCATCTCGTGGGTCTCCTGTACTCTCTCTCCCCTAGTCTCTATGCTTAGTGAATGGCCTCTCATCTACCTGGAAATCCTCTTGCTTTTGACTTATCCTGTGATTCTTACTTCAGCTCCTCACTTCCCTGGATTTACAGGCCCTGCTCTGGTTCAGACCTCATTAGCTCTATTGCTTAGAATTTATCCCCAGTTCCTCAACTGATCCCTTTTGAGAAGTCAATGATTCAGATCTCGCCTGTATAATCCTCATCTCCTTCCATGACCTCTGGCTCTCATTGTGTTGTTTGTTTCCCAGAACTGTTTTGCTGGTCCCTCAGCTGGTAAGCCCTTCCTAGCCCTCTGCTCTTGATGTAATCCCATGAACACTCCCAGGCTCGGTCTCATTATCCTTTCTGCAGTCTGTTGTGGAATATTGCTTTAACCTTGTAAAGCTGTGTTACATTGGTTTATGTTGTGGAATATCGCTTTAACTATGTAAAGGTGCATTACATTTGTTTATGTTGTGGAATATTGCTTTTATGTAAAGCTGTGTTACATTGGTTTATGCTTCATTTAGTGGTGTAAAGATGTGTTTCTTTGCCTGCATAAGGCTCCTGACTGATCTAATTAAAAAACTGGATGGCCAATAGCTAAATAGTAGAGGAATAGGCAGGGCTGGTAGGCAGAGAGAATAAATAGGAGGAAGAATCCTAGGCAGGAGGAGAGAACAAGGGAGAAAAGAGGAAGATGCCTGGGGCCAGCCAGACATGGAGGAAGCAGGAAAGTAGGACATACAGAAGGAAAGAAAGGTAAAAAGCCCCCAGGCAAAATGTAGATGAAGAGAAGCAGGTTAAATTAAGTTATAAGAGCTAGTGGGACAAGCATAAGATAATGCTGAGCATTCACAACTAATAATAAGTCTCCATGTCATGGTTTGGGGGCTGAGGTTTCAAGAAAGCCTGCTACACCAATCAGACGTTCCTGTGTCCCAGGGAACAAAACAGATAACTAGTGTGACTTCTCTTCCCGATCTACTGTCTAAACCAGGACAAGTCGGAGAATGAAAGGAATGCTAAGGATTGCTTTTGTTCAACAGGTATACATTGTTCTGTTCCAGGCACACTGGAGGTGTGGTTACCCTGCTGTATTCAACAGTACTGTAAAGAGCGGCATTCGATACTCCCATCCTTCCCATTCATATTGCTACATAGCCCTGTGAGGGGGGTATCACTAGCCTCATATTTTCAGATGGAAGATGGAGCCTCAGAGAGCTGGAGACTATGAACAACATAGCCAGGTGACAAAACCAGCCCGGGAACCCAGATTTCTAAATTCCCGGCACCTCTACACCTATTCTTTCAGTGCCAGGGTCCTTTTGTCTAGACATAGGATGTGTGCTAGCCTGAGATGAAAAGGAACTGTAGAAATGGATGCTTACTTAGAGAGAAGGCTTGGGTGTGTTTGATGGATAGAAAAGGAACAGTGTTATATTATAAAATCCGTGTCCTCCCCCAGCACACTAGTGGCTTCTATTCATCCAACCATGTATTCGATTAACATTTATTCCACACCTACTATGTGTCATGGAGGTCCCCAGATTACACCTCTCCTAAATATATTTCCTTGCCATATTTCACGATGGTTATTCTGAGAAACTGCACCCAGAAATAGCTCTGGAAATCTGTTCTTCGGCTGAAGAAGTTCCCATCAGTCTGCACCAGTGGAGAAAGCAGCAGATGCAGACAGAAGCTTCCTCTGAGAGTCCCTGGATCTGCCCAGGAGCACCTCCCAGGCAGAGGTGATCACTTGGCCTTCTGAGGTGCTACTTGCCTGGTAGGGCAGCCTCTGGTCATCAAATAACTCCACTCCTGCACTCCCTTGGCTTAAGTCCTCCTCACCTTCCCACACCCAGGAAACCCCCAAACCCTAGTCCTTCGGGTAACACAAAATGTTTAATAAATGTCAACCATCTGGCCCTTTCCTTAAGGTTTACACTTCGTAGATTTTTTTTTCTTGTGTATATAAGTGTGTGTGTGTGTGTGTGTGTGTGTGAGAGAGAGAGAGAGAGAGAGAGAACCCAGGGCCTCACCAACATAACAGATTTTGTGTGCTTTTTCCTCTCATTTATTTTGAGTGCTTGTGGATGCTCGCATGCCACATCCGAGGACGACTCTGGGGAGTTAGATCTCTCCTTCCATTTTGTGGTCCAGAGAATCCCACTCAGGTGGTCAGACTCCGCAGTAGGTGCCTTTGTATTCTGAGCCATCACCCTGGCCCTGTTCTTTCTCTTTTTCATCTACCTACTGTTGGTTCATTATTACATCTCCAGAGAGAGAACATATAAAACCCCCTACACCCGGAGTGTGCTGCTGTTCCAGGGATGAAATAAACGAAACACACGCCCCTCCTCCTTCGTGGGACTTTCATTCCAGGCAGAAGCCTGGTTCAGCAACAACCACACAAATAATCCTAATTACAAATCAGAATAAATGCAAAGGAGGGAAAAAGAGTGGCTTAAATATTTAATGCGTTGAATAAAAACGAGAGTTGAAGATTTAGTAATAAATTTAACAGGCTTTTTAATCTCACAGATTTCACGCGAGCAGCCTTGGAAATAGCTAGCTCTCCGTTTTCTGCTTTGAGGGGCAAGTGCAGACGAGGGAGATGTGTGGGGCTTGAGAGTGTGCAGAATTTCTTGGTATTCTTCGCCCTCCCTAGTCTGAGTTAAATTGAATTGACCTAAACCGAAAAATTGAGGTAAATCAGGAGAAACGTGCTCAGCTAGCCTAAATAAAGCTGGTCTCCAGGCAGGCTCCACAGAACCGCCGGCAGGTGGGAAGAAGCGAAGCTGGGAAGGAAAGGGGAAGCAATGAGTTTCCAGAGTCGCAGACTGCGGGGGCAGAGCACTTAGGGACCCGACCACTGGGTTAGATCTCTAGTGGGAGCACGACTCCCACCCTTCCCAGACGGGCAGGGCCAGTGAGCCCCGCGGGGCCACTGGGGGAGGGGGACACGGGTTTTCCTGGCTCCCTGGCAGCCAGACCCGCCAATCCCGCCGCGCCTGGTGGCGGTACCACGTGATCAGCCCCCCCCCCCCCCCGGGCGGGCGGGGGGGGGCGGGCGCCCCGCCCGCCCCCCCCCCCCGCCCTCCCGCCCCCGCCCCTCGCGTGCCGCAGTCGCGTGGGTGGGTACTCCAGCCAGGCTGGGATTCCTCCGCAGTCCTCTGCATTGGAGAGAAAGGGAGGAGAGGGGAGGGAGGGGAGAACCAGCGAACTGTAGCCGCAGTGCCTGCCGTGTTTTCCGCCAAGGTCAAGCGTACCCACACTTTCTCAGGGATGCCTCAAAATCTTTTCTCTGCAGTGCCCCAGCCATTCCCGTAGCGTCTGGCACAGGCAGGTCGACTGCAGCATCCCTGGTCCTCTTGGATCTCTCACTACACCAGCTTCTCTGTGGGACCGGGTGTGGGGCTTTATCTGGTTCGCTGAGCTCCCCCCCCCCCACGCCGTGTTTCTAATATGCAAAGTTCTTGGTTTAAACCCCTACTGGGACTAGGGGTGTGTTTTGGTGCTGGACGCCCGGGGTTCAATCCTTAGGATTGCAAAAATAAATAAGATAAAACCCGAATAAGAAGAAACACCCTGTAGGCCTCGAATGCCCCCTCCAGCCTTCTTAGCCCTTACTATTGGAGACCCTCGTCCTCTGGATTGCCTTGCCTCTCCAGGAACAGCCATAATTTAAATACTGCCGACAGTGAGCCTTGGAAATTTCGGACCCAAATTCATAATACCAAGGTAGTGGAAGGTGGGAATGAACCCTAAAATGCAAAGGCTACATATTTGAAAGCCTGCAGGATTCGAGGACAGAAGATAAATATGGCGGAGGGGCGAGGCATAAGAAAAATCTGCTTGAAGGGCAGGGACACCCCCCCCCCCCCCCCGCTTCGGCGACATGCCCCTTGGGAAGAAGTGTGGGTTCTGCAATGCCAGATTTTCCGAGGGGAAAAAATAAGCCACGTTCCATGAACTGTCTTGTTTGTAATCTTCCAGTGCTTGGATTTTTAACAACATTCTTGAAGACTAGGGGCTACCCGCAGGCCCGCAGGACACGTCCTCTACTTTTGGGACAAGGTTAATTCTCATTGGGAAAATATTGTTTAAATGAGGGTGTGGCCATGAACTTCTGAGAGGCAGATGCTGTGAAGTCCACAAAGAGGGGGGTATGGACTTGGATGTGCTCCCCAAAACAGCTTTAGACATTGTGAGCGGGAGTTTCTGTGAGGAGAGGTGGGGCTCAGATAATCTGTCAGTATCTGGAGGAGGTAGATTTGGGGAATGGGCGGGGGTTGAGGGCGCTAGGGACGCTAGGGAGCGGTGGGCAGCAGGAAACCTGCCAAGGATGGGTTGTGCGCAGTAACTGTGTATTCCCATCTGGCTGTGTGAATGACGGAGCAGGATCACTATACTTTTACATGTGATGGTAGGGAGATGGGCGGGGAAGCTAACCCTTCACCCTCCCAACTCTACAATGGTGTGATGCCCGGAAGGGTGATTGGAGAGACAGAAAAAACATGCATATTGTCAGGAGCTACCAGGAGGGCCCGCACTGAGAGCTGGGAAATGTGTCAATGGAAACAACAGCCATCTGTGAGCTTGGGTGTGGTGGCATGCACCTGCAACCCCAGCACTCAGGAAGCTGAGACAAGAGGATCTAAGGTCTAGACCAGGGGCCAGTGAGATGACTCTGTTAGCTAAGGCGCTTACCACCAAGCCTAATGACCTGAGTTCCATCTCTAGGACCCACATGGTGGAAAGAGAGAAGTGACTCCTGCATGTTGTCCTCTGACCTCCACATGTACACTGTGACACACATGTGACATACATGCATGTTTTCCCTCCCTCTCCTCCCTCTCCTCTCTCTCTCTCTCTCTCTCTCTCTCTCTCTCTCTCTCTCTCTCTCTCACACACACACACACACACACACACACACACACTAAATGTAATTTATAAATATAAAAGAGATGCAGGCTGTCTGAGCAAGGTGGTGGGCTTCTGTAGTCCTAGCATTTGGGACACAGAAGCAAGAGAATGGTCACAAGTTTAAGGCCTCTGTCACCTACACAGTGAGTTCTAGGCTAGCCTGACTGCATAGTAAGAATTTACCTCAAAAGCAAAACAAAAAAAACCTTTAATCCCAGCACCCAGGATGCAGGGGAAAGCAGATCTCTGAGAGTTCAAAGCCAACCTGGTCTACAGAGTGAGTTCTGAGACAGCTAGGACTACACAGACCCTGTCTCAAAACAACATCAAAACACCCCAAAACAAAACAAAACCCAAGCAAAACAACACAACAACAATAACAAAAGAGCCATCTGAATCTGTCTGGGGAGCACAGGGTTTTCAGCTCACCCTGAGCTGGAGGGTGTCTCAGTCTCCTACCCTGGAACTCTTTAGGAGAATCTTACTACACTAAGGGACTGCCTTGAGTGGGGTGTTTGTGGAAAGGGCCGCAGAGCCAAGTGGCGCCATGTGTTTGTTGTGATGCTGGCCCATGGGTTGAACAATGCAGGAGCTGGCCCAGGAGAAGTAATCCTGATACCACCGCACCCCCCAGATTTGCAGGAATCTTTGGTTTTTTGAGACAGTTTCTCTTGAAACAACCTTGGCTGTCCTGGAAATCACTCTGTAGACCAGACTGGCCTTGAACTCACAGAGATCCACCTGCCTCTGCCTCCCGAGTGCTGGGATTAAAGTGTGCGCCACCACTGCCTGGCTTCTAGAGGTCTCAAGTGATCATGAAACCAGCTGATACCTACAAAGTGTTGGCTATAATTTACTGAGTTCCTACTTAGTTGTGCAATACACCATACTAGATGCTTTATGTACATTATCTGCCTCCCCATAATCATTATATGAGGAAAATACTATTATCATAACCATCACTTCACAGATGAAGGATTAAGACCCAGGGCAGTGGCTCACCCAGTGCTCTTCCAGTGAGCTATAATCCCAGCCCTGCTTGGCAAAGTTGCAAATAAAATGAGATCAACAGTATATAGTAGATATCCCACCAATAAAGAATGAATGACAGGCTGGGCTGTGTTCAGCAGAAGAGCGCTTAACCAGCATGCACAGTGCTGGGCGTGCTGAAACATACTTATAAGTCCCCAGTACTCCAGGGGCTGAGACAGAAGGATTGCCAACCATGTTGAGGCCAGTCTGGGTCACACACTGAGACTCCATTTCTAAATAAACAAATTCCCAAACTCAAAACCCTCTGCAAAGCAGATACTCAGATTATCTTCATTTTACAAGAGAGAAAGTTAGGTTAGAGGTGAGACTGGGTATGACTTCCCCTGAGATGAGCACAGTCATTAAGTGGCAGTGGCTGGATTTAGCTTTAAAGCCCTTTCGCCCACTCTCTATTGCTCATGTGCTTCCGTCATTTCTTCACTCATTAGAACGCTTACCAAGCAACTACGTGGCAGACCTTCTTCAGGACCAGAGGAGACACAGCCAGACTCAAAAAGATGTTTCTCGTTTGCTAGGGAGGCAGACAACTCAGTGGACCTTGACATTCAGCCTGACAAGCTCGTTACTGGGGCAAATTCAGGGGTGAGAGGGGCAAGCTACTGCTTCACGTAATTAACTGATAAGTAGTTAATGTGGTACTGGGATTGAACTGGGGCCTGAGCTGGTTCGATGTTAGCCTAGCCCTGGACCACTGCTGTGGGTTAGAAATTTTCTTTCCAGTCTTAATTCCCTAGAATGAGGTAGAAACATTCTTACCCCTTATGTCTAGGAGGATGAGGTGGCATTGCATCTGGAACCAAGCAAAAGTCAGTCTGTCTGTCATTGCCTCTCTATCTCTGTCTCTCTGTGTCTGTCTGTCTGTCTGTCTCTGTGTGTTCTGAACTGTCTTTTCCACCCTTTTAGCATGCACATATGGTCCAACTGCTCAATATGGGATAGAGTGGTCCTTGAGACTTTGCCTCTGCCCCAAAGCCCAGCAGACAGGCAGCCCTCACTTAATTTCCGGAAATCCTGGTGGGTCAACTTCACCGTCAGTAGAGCTTACCTCTGCGTGGTGAGGCTATGTGTTATCTTTCTCTCTTTTTTACTTTGATTTTTTTTTCCTACCATGAATTTACTTATTTTGTCACCAGTTAAGGTATGGCTAGAGTTGTGGTTTAGTGGCAGAGTTCCGTCTCCAGCACTGCCAAAAAAAAAAAAAAAAAAAAAAAGGTAAAAATAAAATTATTGTCTAGTATAACAATTATTTGTGGCCCCAGCAATGTAGGTAGGGTACGTCTGGTAGAAGCAGCCACAGGGCCGAGAAGAAGCAAGGATGAGAGAGGGCATCCAAGGTTAAGAACCAATCCCTATTCCTTAGAGATCGCTGTGAACCGTTTCTGACTTGCCTCTGTGGTAGGTAAGTCTCGGTTCATCTTCCTCACAAGCCTAGACGATTAGCTGATAGTCTGCAGCTGAGAAGCCAAGTATCTCCTTTATAGATCAAGAAACCAAGACTCAGGAAGTTTCCGTTAATCTCCCAGCAACTGACAGCTAGAGAGTGATGTGGCGACATTTGAATCCAGACGTGGGTGGACTTCAAGTCTGTGTACTTTAACCTCAGCAACCATTCCAAGCCTCTCCAGTAGGAAGACACTTAAGTGTCCCCAGTTGGTCACCCAGAGTGGGAACTACCTGAGTGCTGTGGTTCATATAATCCTAGCATTGAGAAGACTGGAGCAGGAGGATTGCTAAAAGTTCAAGGCTAGTCTAGGTTAGGTAAGTTCCTAACCTAGTTACAATGACACTGTTATAAACAAACAGGAAAAATAACAGCAAAGCTGGGCGATGGCGATGGTGGCGCACGCCTTTGATCCCAGCACTCGGGAGGCAGAGGCAGGCGGATCTCTGTGAGTTCGAGGACAGCCTTGTCTACAAGAGCTAGTTCCAGGAGAGTCTCCAAAACTACAGAGAAACCCTGTCTCAGAGAGAGAGAGAGAGAGAGAGAGAGAGAGAGAGAGAGAGAGAGAGAGAGAGAGAGAGAATAACAAAAGTAAGTAAATTGGCAGAACTAACTAGAAAATCCAGCAAAGTAAAGATTATTGTCCCATTTTTCACATAGGAAAATTAAGGCCAGGGAGGGACCTTGTTCAGTATAGTCAAGCCAAAGTAGCTGAGTTAGCCAAAGTAGCAATGTTCCTTCTAGATCCAGGTCTCCTCTCCTCTCAGCTACCTCTGCCAATCCCGAGGCTTTCTTCACAGAGCCAGTGACTCGTGGTAAACTGCTGAGTGGATTTCCCCTTTCTCAAAGGACAGGAAATCTATGTGTTGACAGTCCCTGTGGGTAAACAATTTCAGATTAGTTATCAAGAGGGCAGGGAGGTGTAGAAGATCAGGTCTGGCAGAGTGTGGTCTATGACTGGGAGGGGTTTGCCTGTCTGTCTGG